TTTTCAAGAACTAAAAAATGAAAATGCTCTCACAAGCGCGTTTGGCACCGCATTTCCTGAAAAATAAAAATTGAAAACGTTTTCTACTTATTCCCAAAATGTCAGCAAAACTGAAAACGATTAAGGATCGTTTTTCTTCCCATTTTCATTTTCCCTAAGTTTTATTTTTCTTTCCCCGATGCTTGTAAATGGTGGTGAAAATCGGTGGAATCGTAACAAGGTCGAGGAGGTTTTTTGAGAAGATCTCAGATTTTTTGGTTAGGGTTTTCGACGGTTTCATTTCTGCCCCTGCTCTCCAAAATCGACTGAGGTATGCCCATTAATCTAGTGATTTAAGGGTTTAGGTTGGTATTATTTATGATTTTCTGATGATTTGTGGGATTTAGGCCGGTGGTGGAATTATCTAATAGAACTAAGTGATTCTATATTTAATTGTTCTTTATGTGTCATATGGTGCTTCCTTCTATGCGTTGGTGTCTTTTTTGAGGAACTTTGTCGAAATGAGGTTGGTTGTTATGAACTGACAATTGGTTCTTTCCTTGTTAGCAAATGGAATCAAATGTTTCTTCTGAATTATCTTTAGTATTCTACTTTTGTTTAATTTTTGAGCGATTCTCTACGAATTGAGGTCGGTTGTTTTGAGTTTAAAAATGGATTCTTTCCACATAAGCTAAAAGTACTAAATGATTTCTTTGAATTGTCTTTTGCTGTGTAGTATGGTGCTTGCAGCTGTTTTTCCCAGCGGTAGTGTATTTTTTGAGCAATTCTCTTGCAATTGTGGTTTGTCAAAACGAAAATGGGTTCTTTTTAAATCTAAATGATTGTTTTGAATTCTCCTTTTGCTGTAGTATGTTTCCTTCTGCTACTTTTTTCTAGCATTGGTGTACTCTTTTGAGTAATCTCTGGGAACTGAGGTTGGTTATTCTGAATTGAAAAATGAATTCTTTTCATATGAACTAATAGAAGCAAGATGACGCTTTCTGCTAATTTTACTAGCGAGAGACAATGGCTTCCGTATTTATTTATATTTATGTTAATAAAGATAGTGATATGTTGACTATATGAACTATATGTTGACTAAATGCTCCCAAAATCGTTTTGAAAATGTCTTTGTGGTTTGGGAGTTATGGTTTTAAAATTTTGGTGGTTTTGTGATAATTTTCTAATTTAGGATTATTTTGTGATATTAATTTATTTTAAGAGGTTAACAGGTATTTTAAGCTTTGGGGAGTGTTAAAATGTAGGAGAAACTCTGGCAAAATTTTTAAAAATGGTTTGGAGGGGTTTAGAGGCCATTTGGGCCGTTTTTGGGTGGCTGGGCGCACCATGCTACATGCTGTGGGTGCCCAGCATGCTGTAGCAGCCCCTGGGAGCACAGCAGTGGGGCGCTGACAGCCCCTGGGAGCGCAGCAGTGGGGCGCTAGCAGCCCCTGTGAACGCAGCATAGAGCGCTGGCAACCCTGCGTGCCTTGCGCACGCTGTGTGTGTATATATATTCGTGTGTGTGTGACCTTCAATTGTGTTTTTTTGGATCGTGACATGCATAACTCACATGACTTTGTTTTTATATGCTGAAAAATGACTGAAACAAAAAATTGTGAACTAAATCAAACTAAAATAGCTTTTGTGATGCTTAAGATGCTTACTTGTATATTTATATTGATAATTTTCTAATTTAGGGTTATTTTGTGATATTAATTTATTTTAGGAGGTTAACAGGTATTTTAAGCTTTGGGGAGTGTTAAAATGTAGGAGAAACTCTGGCAAAATTTTTAAAAATGGTTTGGAGGGGTTTAGAGGCCGTTTGGGCTGTTTTCGGGTGGCTGGGCGCACCATGCTACATGCTGTGGGCGCCCAGCATGCTGCAGCAGCCCCTGGGAGTGCAGCAGTGGGGCGCTGGCAGCCCCTGGGAGCACAGCAGTGGGGCGCTGGCAGCCCCTGGGAGCGCAGCAGTGGGGCGCTGGCAGCCCCTGTGAACGCAGCATGGAGCGCTGGCAGCCCTGCGTACGCTGTGTGTGTGTGTGACCTTCAATTGTGTTTTTTTGGATCGTGACATGCATAACTCACATGACTTTGTTTTTATATGCTGAAAAACGACTGAAACAAAAAATTGTGAACTAAATCAAACTAAAATAGCTTTTGTGATGCTTAAGATGCTTACTTGTATATTTGTATTGATAATTTTCTAATTTAGGGTTATTTTATGATATTAATTTATTTTAGGAGGTTAACAGGTATTTTAAGCTTTGGGGAGTGTTAAAATGTAGGGGAAACTCTGGCAAAATTTTTGAAAATGGTTTGGAGGGGTTTAGAGGCCATTTGGGCCATTTTCGGGTGGCTGGGCGCACCATGCTACATGCTGTGGCCGCCCAGCATGCTGCAGCAGCCCCTGGGAGTGCAGCAGTGGGGCGCTGGCAGCCCTTGGGAGCGCAGTAGTGGGGCGCTGGCAGCCCCTGTGAACGCAGCATGGAGCGCTGGCAGCCCTGCGTGCCCTGCGCACGCTGTGTGTGTATATATATTCGTGTGTGTGTGTGACCTTCAATTGTGTTTTTTTGGATCATGACATGCATAACTCACATGACTTTGTTTTTATATGCTGAAAAACGACTGAAATAAAAAATTGTGAACTAAATCAAATTAAAATAGCTTTTGTGATGCTTAAGATGCTTACTTGTATATTTGTACTGAAACCTTTTCAGTTTTATGTTTTGTGGTAAGAAACGAATGTACATATAGCCGTCAATGGGGACTCGGATGAAGTCCGGTGTGCAGAAGCTAATAGAAGCAGACGGTCTCAGGATCCTACTACTCGATCCAAGAAGAAGGGCAAGATGAAGTCCAATCATGTTTCTTCTTTAGGTTAATATGGATTTCGATGCCACAAATAGTGAGGATGATGCCACAGTTGTTGACTATCTTCACTCATCAGATGATGATGAACATCCACAAATTTCTATCCAATTACTGATGTCGCTTACAAACATACAAACTAGGCAACCTTGTCGTAATTTTGTTATAGGGATCATCTAGCTGATCAAATGTGAGATTCGTATATACGGCAGTAATATAAGCTAAGATTATTCACTAAGTAAACCTTTTTTGTACTAATCATTCACTAAGTTATCTTATTTTAAATTATTTACTATTTATTTGTAATGCAATTTAAATTATTATATTAATTATTAGTGTTTTTATTTGATATTCAATTATTATTTATTTAATATATTATTATTTAAAATACTATTACACGTTTTTAAAAATTAAATCACCAAACATAATTTCAGTTTTTTTTAAACTGAAAACAATCTCAGAATAAAACTACTAAACGCATTTTCAAAAATGATTCTAAAATGGAAATGAAAACGTTTTCATTTTCATACAGAAAATAAAATCATTTTGAAATGAGTTCCAAACGCACCTTTCATGTTTTAATACTCAAACAACTTATGAGCTTGTTTAAGACATATTACAATCTATCTAACGGTGTAGATTAACTTGTATTTATACAGGCTCCATCCTGCGTCAAGCCTAGTAATAGTATTAGTAGATGTCTAGCACTCCTAATTCTCAGGGCAAGTCCAAGTTAAATATATGTACATTAATAAGGAAACTTTTAGGGTATTTGGAGAAAAATTCGTGGTACTGCATGGGAATATAATAACTTGTGAATTTAACGTTGGAATTTACTAATTTCAAACATTGAAATTGTAAAAATTATAATAGATTTGCGTTCTGATACGGGGTCGTAAAGACACTCTGATCCAATTAACAGTGTTGTTATTCATATTTCTATTAAAAATTGAACGTTTTTGAACGACGTGAGCACGTCTACAACATTCACATGAGGAGAGGAAAAATTGGGGCCGACAACCCACGTGACCCCACAAGAAAGTTAAACTAAAAACAAAAAATGATTAGAGATAGCATAAAAAAAAAAATCTTTCATAAGCGCTGAAATATAAACTACAAAAAAAGTTTTATTTTAACGGTTAAATGTCAAAAATTAATTATTTTATATTTTCTTAATATAATATAATTTTAATCATATTCAAAAGGGAAAAACTTATTTCCAATTTTCCAATAAAGAGGTCTCGCTAAAACAATAAAATTAAGGTGACTTTGTTTTAAAATTTTTTAAGGTGACGTTTGTTTTAAAAGTTTTTCTTAGTTTAAAATCATAGTTCGTAATTCTGTTACAGTATTTTTCTCTTATAAAAAATTTGAATTTTAAAAATTAGATTCATGAACTATAGTTCTGAACTCATGAACCAAATATCACTTAAAAGATCTTTTATGGTATACCAACATATCGGTAGACTAGGTTTTCTAACCGTTGAATCTAGATAAAATCACGTAAAAATTAAAAAGTACGCAGATTCAACGGTTAAAAAAACCCGACTTACCGGTTTACTGGCGTACTAGAGAATCTCCTTAAAAATAATGGGATGTTTGGTTCATGGATTCAGAACCATAATTCATTATTCTGATTTTTGAAATTCAAATTTTTTTGTGAGAGAAAAACACTGTAGAGAACCAAGAACCATGATTCAGAACCAGAGACGAACTCTTAAAATAAACATCTCATCAAAGATTTAAAAAAAAGAGAGAAAGGAAAAAAAGAAAAAAAATTATAAAATTTATCTTCAAGAGTACACGAGTCTAAATTTTTATCTCTTATTTTATTAATACCTTTTTATTATTAGTATAATTATTTAAGAATTGTCTCCAATCCGGTACCAAATTGGAACGGTACATGTAAATTTCTTTTTAAAATATATATTCTTTAAAATATGTATAATATGAGGAGATATCTATAATTTATCTAAACACATGTATACATATTTAAAAAAAAAACATATATATTTTAAAAAATATATACATATTTAAAAAAAAATATATATGTACCTGTGTTACTCCAATTCCGTACCCATTGAAGACTTTACCTAATTATTTAACTAAAAAAATTATTAATAAAAAATAAAAAATAAAAATACTGACACGCAGTTTTCCCATTAGCTATTGGCGTTCTCTTAACACTTTGGAATATTCAAACTACAAACACGGGTTGAGATTAGACAACAACCCACGAAAACTCCGATAATAATTCAAAACCAAAAAGGAAAAAAATAAAGAAAAAAGTCATCGGTTCAGACGGCTCCTAATACATCCATCCCGGCCATGGGAACGGCGATAACGGCCAATCTGACGGCCATTGCGCTCTTGATCGCCTCCGCAGCGGCGTACACCAACCACACGGTCGGCGGCGATGCCGGGTGGTTCTTCGAATCTGCCACCAATACTTCCGCCACTGATTACTCCTCTTGGGCTGCCAATCAAACTTTCAGTCTCGGCGACTATCTCAGTATGCTCATTCTTTTGAATTTCCGTAGCCATTTTTCATTTCTGTTTGGTTACTAAGAAAGAAATGATGGAAATCAATTGACATTAATATCTTCTATTTCAGCGTTAGGTCAAAGTTTGCCCCAATTTCTCAGCATCCAAACAAGCATGCATATACTTCATCTTCATTTTCCTCCCCGATCTAATTTCTAGAAGTTATTATCATCTTATATTTTTCTCTGATTTGATTTCCAGTTTTCAAGACCAACTCGAACCAGACGGTGATCCAGACCTATAACAAGACGACCTACCAAAACTGCGACTTCGATAACGCGTCGGACAACGACACGTTCCAGTACGGCGGCGGCGGCGAGAAGTTCGGCGAGGCGTTGACAACCGTCGTGGCGTTGACCATCGAAGGAGCCAACTACTTCTTCTCCAGCGGCGGCGAAGACGGCGTCCAGTGCCAGCACGGCATGGCCTTCGATATCAAGGTAGCGCACGGCGCTGGCTTGCCGCCGAGCCTCAACCAACCACCGCCGCCGCCGTACATCGAGCCGCCTGGTCCAGATTCGGCTCAATCGCCACCGGGAACGGTTGTCATAGCTCAGCCGCCGGGGAGCGGCGGCTTCGGAATCGGCACTGACGTGCGCGGTGGGCTCTGTGCGCTTCTTCTTCTGCTGCTATTCTGAGCCGTGATAATGATATAATTTTATTTCAGTTATTCCATTTTTCGGTGTGTTTGGGTGTTAAAGCGGAATGGACCTATCTCTGGATCAGGGTGTCCACGAAGGAAACATGAACTTCTTTTTGTCACGGATTAGAATGTCCTGAGGGGATAAATACATTTTTGTCGTCGTTTACACTCCACAGTTTACACTATTTCTTCCCCTTCCCTCATGAAACACTCCTTATTTTTATTTTTTAAAAACAATTAGAAGGAATAATTTTGATTCGATGAACGAGAATTTTGTTATAGGATTTGAAAGAGATACATGATCAATAGTCTTAAGTTGTTAGAATGTCATAAAACTTTATTATATTTATGATATATGAACTTGATTATATATATACTATGCCAAACCTAGTTCGAATAGGAATAGTTGATAATTGAATATGATTTTTTGATTATTTTTGTATTTGTAATAATGTGAAAAACATATATACATTGTTTTATTTTTCCTTAAAATATGTCTAATCTGTATATATATATGTAATATAAGTTAATTTTTACCTTTTTATTATGATAAGATAAGATTTGATGTTAATGAACATACATTATGAGCGAGTGTTACTCATTCCTTCAAAAAAAGAAAAAGAAAAAGAAAAAGCGTTACTCATATTTACAATAACTAATTTAACAAACTAATATAAATTCGCAAACATACTGAAAATGCATATTTTATGTAGTTCTCCAATATACAAATAAAAGTGACGTTTTTTTTTCTTTTCATTCTCATTGTCCCACTCCACTTGAATTGAACCCATTTCCTATTACTATAATTACGCATCATCTTTTCTATTGCAAATAAGAATAACAATAAAAGTCATCTTTACAAGTGAAAGTAAAAAAAAAAAAAAAGTAAGGATTTGTTTGATACGATGATTATCAAGATTTTAAGGTTGAATCGTGGTTTAGGTTCAACTAGATGTTCTAAAAAGGTTGAATCGTGGTTTAAGTTTAACTTAATATTTGTTTACAAAAAGTAAAAGGTGGTTTGGACCTAGTCCAACAAAACCAATATTTGATTTAAAAATAATAATTAAGACTTAAACTTTCATGTGATGTTTTAACCATTTTCAACCAAAAAAAAAACCTCCTTTTCGTTTTGGTCAGTTTTAACTAGAGGTGGCAATTTATTTCACGTGTAGTATTTTGATCATTTTTTCATAAATTTGTAGTCAACCCGAACACGACTCATAACACAAAATCTTATAAAAGTCGCAACACGAACACGCCACGACAACTTTCAGGTTGAAACGATACGACACGAAAATGACACGTGACACACAATTGATCAATGAACCCGAAATTAACACAAAAATTATATATTTTTATTTAGTTTTTTACACATTAGAAATAACTTAAAATTCACAACACGCTTAAATACAGCAAAATCCATCAAAATTAAGCAAAAAATAATATAAGATTTTGAGCACAACTATCATGATGTTACGAGTTCATATAAAATCTAAAATAAGTAATGAAAAACATATATTATTTTTAATTTTTTACGAAATTCGTGTTATATTTGAGTAGGCAGGTGCGGGTCTAACCCAAAATTGACAATTATTTTTTGTGTCAATTTAAAGTTAATCTAGTTATGATCCGAACATTTTTTTTTCTAAACCTAACCCGTAAAACTCGTGTCATTTTTAAGTGTATTGTTGTACCGTGACCCATATTACTTTAGTTTCAACCACAGGTTCAAACCACATATAATTCAAACTCAAAAATGTAGGGCTTGTTCTTTTGAGTGAAAAACTCAAAAAAAAAAGGTAACTCGAGTTACAACTTTATTCGATTTCATGTTCTTTTAAGTTTAAACTCGAGTTCAAACTCGAGTTTAGGACCAAAACTCGAGTTCAAGTTTCCTCTTTAACTTGAGTTCAGAAACTCGAACTCAAATTAATGAACAATATTTTTTCTATTCTTAAAAATGCTATAACTTTTTCGTTTTAATTTTGATTGAGATGATTTTTTTTTCTATGCGTTGACAACGAAAAGACGAATAAAACCTGACCCATATACCCTATAAAATTTTTCATTAGCATTGATTTTTTATTAAAATACTATCTAAATACAAATTCAAATTTTAACTCACTCAAACATAAACTCAAAAATATTCTTATCTCAAACCATAACTCAAATGTACACAACCAAACACAAACTCAAGTTACAAGTTCAACTCAAGTTATAACCTAAATTCAACTCAAAAATTATACTCAAGTTAAATTCCAAAAGAACAAGCCCGTAATTTTTCAAATTCAACGATTCAAAATACACCTGGTTCAAACTCAAAGGTTCAACCCACCATCGTATCAAACATATCCTAAATTACACGTAATCGAGTGTACTTGCACCCACAGCAACATGACACTTCCGAGAGCAATTGATATGACCACCTCAAATAGAGCATATAACTCAAATGAAAAAAGAAGAAGCAAAAACAAAGAGAGAGTGTGAGTTGATAAACAATGACATAATTGAGTATTTCTGATAATTTGAACCAAATTATTCAGCTAACGCAATCAAGTAAACACAAATGTGTTGAAAAACATTAGCCAAAAAACAAAAAAAGTGTTGAAAAAAAAAATCTGATAACAGTGAAGAGACGCTATAAATGGCCATTGAGATAATCATTGTAAGACACACAACATATACACTTGAATAGAAAACAAATATTACTTCACAGTAAATACGTAAATTATATAATTTATGGTTTTTTATTTTCTTTTTTCTTATAATGTTTTCTAGATAAGCTTTTAATATAACAACTGGCTTAATTATGAAAAAAAAAAAAAAACACTACGTTAAAAAATTGCATTATCATCTTGGCGTGTGGCAAGAAGCGCGGAAACACCGTTCATGGACTGCAGTATAGGTGGCGAGAATGAATGATCAATTTTTATAAGATTTCTTTTACATTTTTTTTAATGAGGGAGAATGAATCAGTTGGAAATACTTCCATTTGGCATATATCTTTATTAGTTACTAGGTTTTAATCCAATCACATTATGAATAATGATATATGGTGATATATGATTCCCGTATAACTCAAATTTTAGCTTAAAAAAGAAAAGAAGCTGAAATTCTTAGCATTTTTAATGTTTATAAGCATATTTAATTTTCGTAAGTGAAGATTGATTTTAAAATACATAAAACTCTTTATAGGGCAAAACAGATCCTCTTTGCTATGCGTATGTAAATACGGATTAAATTCATGAGAGGTTCTTGAACTCTTTTCTCTCTCTAGAATTAATCTATGTACTCAAATTTATCTCATAAATAGTCTATTAACTGAAAAAGTGTCTTATAAATGGTCATTTTATTAAAATTTTAGATAAAAACCGTTAAATTGGATAGTTGTTATGATTTATGGGTTGTTTTAAAGTTTAATACTACTCTCATTTTTTTTCATGAGAGGTTCCTGAATTTTTTTCTCTCTCTAGAATTAACTTATGTACTCAAATTTATCTCATAAATAGTTTATTAACTGAAAAAGTGTCATATAAATAGTCATTCTATTAAAATTTTAGATGAAAACTGTTAAATTGGATAGTGGTTATGATTTATGGGTTGTTTTAAAGTTTAATACTATCATTTTTTTGTATTATTTGAAATCTTTAGATATTTTTTACTTATTCAAATTAGTTATTAAATGTTTTTTTTCTACAACTAATCTTTAAATTGTTATTTTTTATCTTAGTGAATTTACGGCTTTAAACAGATGTAACACCTCTTACACCTTGAGAATTATTATTGTTGTTACAATTTTCAAGTGTTATATAATATATGTACTACCTTTTTCTTATGCAATTGTACTACGATAGCAATCAATGGTTTTATTTTTGTTTTGCAACTTTTACTACTACATGTATTGTGCATTGTGTTTTTTTTTTTTTTTTTTTTTTTCCCGAGTGAATGCATTATGGTAATTAAGAAAGAAAAGTGCTATGGCTTATTATAAATAATTAAATCTTATGATAATAGAATTTACCAAGAAAAAGGGCGGTATTTTTTGTGTGTATCTCTTTTGTGGTGCTTTTTTTTTTTTTTTTTTTTTTTTTTTAACAATTGGTAAGGACAAAGTGAAGGTGGCAATATCCATAAATTTAAGAAAGAAAGTAATAATAATATTCCCTTCCAATAACCCCAATGTTAAGAAGGAAGAGTTTAAATTCCATCTATTAATGAAGAATTTATAGTTTAGTTATTTCATAAAACATATATTGATTCAAACAAAACCCAAAGAAAGGGGAAAAAAAAGGCACTAATGTTAGAGGGAAAAAAAGTCAGCTACTCGATATAGAGAGAAGAAAAAAAATTCAAGAACTGATTTTAGCGAAGGAAAAAAATCTTTAAAAACCTCTCAAAAAATAAAATTTGTGACTATTATTAAACTCCCTTAAAATAAATCAAAAATAATAACTATTATCCAATATAAAGGTTTCCATCTAAAAATTGAACTTAAAGAGTAATTGTGAGATACTTTTTCAGTTAAAAGACTATTTATGAGACAAATTTAAATACATGAACTAATTCTAGAGAGAGAGAAAAATTCAAGGACCTATTTATTCCTATATATATTGAGTAGTGGTGGAACTTCGGGCGGCGGGCCTACCTGAAGCCGAAAATTTTTTGAGCTCGGCGGGTAGGCACCTATCGCTGCCCGTCCACCTAAATATACCGGGCTCGGGCTCGGGCAGCCCGAGAAAAAAGCATTCCCTGTAGCCCGCCGCAGGGTGGGGGGGCCATGACTGTCGGCCGCCGTTTTTTTTTTTTTTTTTGAATTTTCCACTATAACTCGAAGCCCAAATACCCAACAAACGACTAGCTTTTTGAATTTATGCCCGACCCGACCCGAACCCGATCCAAATAAGTTTTTTGAGTCTTAGGCCGATTTTTGCCCGAACTTTTGAATGCAATGGCTATATTTGTCCGACCCAACCTGCCCGAAATTTTGTTACTGTTGGAGCTGAATTTTTTAGGAAAATTTTTTTTTTTCAAGCCAAAAAATTTCCTATAAATACCCCCTTCCCCCAACCATTTTCCTCACCCAATAACTCTCATCCTCTCTTAATTTCTCTCAATCTCTCTCAAATCTCTCTTAATCTCGCTCAAATCTCTCTCGATCTCTCTTAATCTCTCTCAAAGCGCTCTCGATCTCTCTTATTTTTCATAATGGATTCTTCTGGTTATGGTGGTGATATTCCCGTTGATGCCCAATTCAACATTGAAGAAGGGCAATTTCCTACTAATGTTTTTCAAACGCAGGAATCGCAAACACTAGAAAGAGCCATTGAGGAAACTGCAAATCCGAGCCATGGTGGACGTACTAGAGGTCGTGGACCTCATGGTCATAATGATGGTGGGCGTGGAGGAGAGGCAAGCGGAAGTGCTAGTGCAAATGTTGGAAGTTCCAAGAAGAAATGTAAGCGCACCTCAACAGTTTAGGAGCACTTCAACACATTCGAGGAGGTCGACAATAACAGTAACATTAAATACATAGCTCAATGCAAATATTGTGGTGATAAATTACAAGGTAACACTATTCACGGCACAACACACTTAAGAAGACACTCCGAAAAGTGTCTTCAAAAGCAAGGAGGCATACCCGATCTCCGCCAAACACAATTATCATTTGATTGCCAAACTGGCGGTCTAACCACTTGAAAATACGATCCACAAGTCAATCGTATGGAAATGACACAATTAGTAGTTACATTAGATCATCCACTTAGTTTTACCAAACAAATGAATTGACAGTGTTATATTAAAATTGTACATTATCCTAATGCACAATTTTTTTTTCAAAAACTACTCTTAGGAAAGATGCATTAAAATTATATAAACAAGAAAGGGAAGCATTAATCAACCTTTTACACTCTACTAGTGGTGGAGGGCACGAGCATTAACTTGGCCGATCCTAACTCGACTGGAAATGGATATTTTTTTCGATCCCAGTCTCCTCTGTTTCATCCGAACAAGCCTTCAGTACGACCGGCTGAATACTTGAAGAACGTAGAAACGCATTGCAACAAGACATTGTTGAAACTTTGGTTTGCATCAAGGATTGGGATCGTTCTAACCAACGCTCACATGATACAATTTCGCCGGCAAGCCAAGAATGGATCGATGAATTTAATAGATTAACTTTTAATTTTGAAGACGACCATTCAGCTTCAAATTAAATTCTATTATTGTAATTTGTAAATATTTATTTATTTTGTACAGTGTTATTGTAATCTTGTATAGACTTTATAAGTTCATCAAATTTGTAATTCGTCCCAGAATGATTGCACTCTTTTTTCCTTACCAAATTTTTATCCCAATTGGGATTTTCTTGGTAATGTTTTTAATGAGGCAATCACGAATTACAAATTTAAAAATTAATTAATAAATAATTTTTTTATATAGTTCGTGTTCATTTCAAATTGCAATCTCCCGTATAATTTTTGTATAATTTTTACAATAAATAACTTAAAAATCATTTATATACATACCATATACAATTAATAAACAAAATTATATATAATATATATAATAGTATATAAATATATAAAAAACATTAAAAAAATTTTCAGGCACTCGGGCGGTCTCGGGCAGCCAAAACTTGCCCAAAGCCCGTCCATGATCTTTCTCGGGTCGGGTCGGGTAACCCAAAAATTCAAGTTCAGACGGGCTCGATCATTAGATAAAAATTCAGAATTTTCAATGATCGCGGGTGACCCGTCCAAAGTTTTAGTACTAATTTGAGTAAACTCATTGCATATTTTTAAGCCATCAGAATAAAATTGGATAGGAGTTTTTTGTCTTTTTCTGAAAGAATGGTATATTACTCAGTTAAAAAACTGGATATGATTTAATTATGAAAAATATTCATTAAGCAAAAAAAAAATCTATTGGTAATATTAATAACGCATATTACCAGTAGAGAATAGTCTCCCAAAAATTCAGAATTTATTCAAGAAAAAAGTACCTCAAAATATTCGTCAAAACTCAAAAGCTTGAGCGCCAAAAAAAAAAAAAAAAAGATTACTTCTACCGACAAAACAAAAACTTATCCAAAAAAAAAAAAAAAAAAATTCTAAAGGAAGTGTGTTGTTGAACTGACCACAAATATTCGGGTGAGATATTTCCACCAGCACCAAAAGAGCAAAAAATAAATAAATAACTAAAACTAATTAACTTCGATTTTTCTTTTTGAAAGGAATTAATATGAAATTATTGTTAGTTTACAAATGGGCAAGAAACGGCCCAAACGGTCATGAAATGATCTATGAGCAAAAGCCAACAAAAAAAATCCAAGATAACAAAAATAAATGAAATGAAAAAAAATTGAATTGAATTCATGAATTGGATTATAAAGGAAAGAAATTGAAGGCTCTTCTGGGCATGGCCTACCAGTCTTGATTGCTTTCGGTTTTTGTGTCGAAAATCCAATATCTTGATGAAGCCGAGAGCGGCCTTTTAAAACCCGATTGAGATTATAACGCACAAAACGAATTCTGTTTCTCACACTTACTAAAAAACTAAAAAAAGAAAAATTCATATTGAATATTCATAAATGCGCGTCTTATTTTCCTTCTGATTTGATAATATTTTTTCTCTGATCCCTAATCTTCACTGACTTTTCAACGCTCGCTCTCTCTCCTTTCTATTCACTGGTAACTCTCTCTCTCCTATCATCTCTCTCTTTCTCTCTCTTCCTCTCTTTCCTCATTCTCTAGATTTTATCGTTGATTTTGACCTGAATTTGTTTTTATTTTATTTTGAATTTTTGTTTATTTGCTTTTGATTGTGTTTTTGGTTGGGTTGAGGAAGATTGCGTTTCGGAATTTGCGAAAATGGGGCTGATTTCGGGGATTCTTATGGGGATGATCATGGGGATCGCGTTAATGGCTGGATGGCGTCACATGATGAGGCGACGCAGCACCAAGCGAATTGCCAAGGTACGAACGGAATTTCCCTTTTCCGAGTGTTTTCTGGATTGGTATGTTTGAATTCACGTCGTTTTTTTGTTTGTTTGATTGATCGCCATTTTAGGATTTGAAGTTTCGTTGATAATTTAGAGTGGAATTTCTTGTAATTTAGCCGTATAACAGAAAGATAAGAAATCCTATCATGCTGCATTTTGCTGTAGTTGTGTTTCTTGTAACTAGTGATTTGATATGACTTCCTTCGAATGGTTCTTTTGAAGAAATTTCTTTTGAATGATTCTTATATTCAGGTTTTGCACGGTTTCACATAGTTACATCTGGAATTTGATCAATTCATTTTTTTGGTGCGAGATAAAATTTTCCGAGTAAAATTGACAACTGAATTGGAAATGGCAATTAAGTATAACGGACAGAAAGCTTTATTTGAATTACAAGCATTCCTTTTGTTTAAAGCTGGAGAACAGTAATTCACTAAATTCTACTTGGTGTGCAAGCCGATGACTTCGCTGGAAATTGAATACTTTCTCAAATAATTCATGACCTGCTAAAGTAGTAACGTTTATTTGCTTTAAGGAGGAGGATTGATGATTTGGTAATGGACAGTACAACCAATATGGGAACACAAGCTGGTGTGGGACTTGTGGGAAACAGGGGGTGCGGGGAAGGACTGATACTTTCATATTGGACAGTACAGACAATATGGGGAAGACCACAGGCTGGTGTTGGACTTTCTAGCAATGACTGAGGGGCCTGGAGGGAAAAGCATATGACAAAGTTTAGTGTTACGGACTCGCAGTATATTTTTGAGGCAATTATAGCTCTGATTAATGTTAGTCAGTTGGACTTTTGCTGGTGGGTCTGGAAGCTCGATTAACATTTGTTGTGGGCTTCTTAGATGAGATTGGTGGGCTTAATACAACTTTTTTTTTCCAGAGAATTCAATTCTCGGTCCAACATTGTAAAGAATCTTAGGTATTTTCTGGACAGCTGCGTCGCTGTGATCTTTTTTGCTTGCTACTGCAAGCATAAATTTTTTGGGCCCCCTTAGCAAGGGCGTTCTTCATAGATTTTCCGAGAAATGAAAAAAAAAGATTATTCTATTTGATCTCGAAGTCCTCAAAAAGAGAAATATGAATACTTTCCTCATTTATCTTTATGCCTATATGCCTGTATGGTTTTGATTACAATTCAATTGTTTTTACATTCCCTGAGTGTCGGTTTTGGTTTGTGGCAAAAGTGCCGTATCACTGCAATCTTGGTTATGGTATTTTAGGCAGTAAAGGTAGTCATGTGTTGAAGTTCTTGTGGGTGATTTTAGCTCTTGCCTATGTTTCTCTACATGCTTTACATACACTATGGAATAAAAAGTTTTTGCACATTTTTTCAATTTTCTATGCAAATTATGAATTTATAATAATATTCAATAAATGCATATGCTTTGCAGGCAGTTGATATAAAACTCCTTGGGTCTCTTAACAGAGATGATTTGAAGAAAATTTGTGGAGATAATTTTCCTGAATGGATTTCTTTCCCTGTCTACGAACAAGTTGGTTCCTAATTATTCACGTTTGGTTATTAATCTGGTTCCTAATTATTCACGTTTGGTTATTAATCTATTTTTCCTTTTCATTTTATTCTAATCCTAGACTTGACCATTTTGATTGGTTCTCTCAGGTGAAATGGCTGAACAAGCAACTCAGTAAATTGTGGCCATACGTTGCAGATGTAAGATGAGAATTTTTTTTGTTCTCATCCTATATTTACGGTTATGTACAATGGAGTATGAATTTTTATTTCTCTTCTCAGCAAAAAACTGGACTGTCTCATTTTCTGTAAAACGGTTAACTGTTTACTGGATTAAAACTCAAGGACATACAGTCTTTCTTAAGTTTCGTGCTTTTCATATTGTTTTGTCAATTTAATATATGGACACTTAATGCTTAAGTAGATATATAAAGTTTCCCTCTTGTTTTCTCCCCGGAAAATTTCCAGCCCAGCCTCCACATGTTTTAAATGTAATTGGGTAATTTAGTTCTTTAACACAAATCTTAGGAGCTGAAAAGAAATACTATCAATATAGATATATTTTTATTTTTGAGGAAATCAGTATAGATAGTTTGTATATTCTGTTGATGAATAATGAAGGAACATGTTGAAAAAATGTTCTGCTTGAAATATGTGCGTTTTACCTTCTCAAGGTGATTTTGACAACAAAGATGTGCGCATTCCTTTTCTCAATGAAAGAAACATTTTCTTTCTTTCCTTCTTTCTTTCTGAAGGTATTTTAGGAGAGAATTGAGCACTTTTATTTCTCTTCTAATTGTTACATAAACTGGCCTCCTTATATAGATGAGCCAGAGAATAGCAAAATAAGGAAAGTAAAACAAATAAGTAAACAAATCAAAATAAACGGAAACAGCCTAATATTCTAATCCCTTGACTTTAGCTATCAATCCTCATCATTCCTCTATATTTGGACAGAATTAGGACAGCTATACATTCCTAATTTACCGACACTTTCTTTTTTGGTGTTGTTGTC